TACAAGTATGAAAAATATGGTATGTGACTTGACTTATTTTGTCTTAACTAAGTTTGTACTTAAAATACCGAAGGGCTTGAAGCCCACCAATATTAGTATCATGTGTTGTAGAAAGGTGTCCATTCCCAAATGGTTGAGGGTTTAAGTCCGGTTGTGAGCAAATGAGTAGATTTTAGGAATAGGTTTAGTGGATGTGTCTTAGCCATTCCAAAAAAAAAAAGTAAACTAGATTGATGGGAATCTGTCAGTAATACGTTTCTTTGGCAGTGGCGGACCGTAAGAGGGGCTGGGGGAGGCCATGCCCCCCCCCCCCAGCTATGCATAATATATTTATAAAGTCACCCAACAGTCAACAAATTAACTAATTTGGCCCCTGATTTTTCGGTCAAAGAAAAAACTTAAGTATTAACAAAAAGTCTAAGCAAAATAACCATGAACTATCCAAAAAAAAAAATCCGAAAATCGTTGCTAAAAATAAGAGAGATCTTGTTTCATTAGGAAAATGAAAATTTAAGAAACCAAAACCCTATAAAAACTAATCAAAATTCTAATCATATTTACACAATTCTTAACTCAAACTTTGAGTTTAAGAAAACCTAAAAATTTACAGCTCCCCGCCGATTACCTTATTCGCATGATTTCTTTCAATTATTGCTCTCTGTCGGAGTTTAAGAAAACCTGAGGTTAAAAACATTTGACTCCATCTGCCTGCCTTCCGTGTCCTTCTCCGGTTTCTCTCCATAAGAAGTTGAAAACGGTACTCTCTTTTTCTCTTTCTCTTCTCCCACAAAAAGTATGATATTATCTATGATATGAAATATCTTTAGATATTATCTTGGAGACTTTGTAAAGTGTGATATAGGCAATAGGGTAGACTTGTAAAAGTTTTATTACTTATTTAATGTTCACAGACAAATTATACTATACTGTTTGGTATTGTAAAAATGTAAAAGGAATTAGAAACATCAAAATATGTATCTGTTTATTGGTATAAAATAAAAGTAAGTATTAAAATCAATCTGTATACATTAATTTATTTATAATGTGAGTCTTATTTTTTATAAAAAAGGTTAAGAATAAAATGTAAGGTAGACCGGTAGAGTGTTTGAATGATTTTTGGTTTTGTTATTCGAAAGACAATGTGTTAAAAAAATTAGTTTAAAAATAATTTTGCAAGACTTAAAATCAACGAAGTCCATTTTAATCGGCAATAAAGTTATAGTTTTAGAGTGCAAAATTTTGAATAAATTTTCTTCTCTATATTGTTATGTTTTGAAAATTTGATTCTTGGCCCCCTATTTATTGTGTATGTGTTGGTATTCTGTCAAAAATTGTCAAAAATAAAGTTTGTAGTAATCCGACGTTATTTTGTTACAAAAGTAACATAACTAGAATGTTGGAAATCTATAGGTATTTATCGACGAAAAATTATGTCAGTAAACTAGTAAAGTGTCTAAAATATCATCAAAATAAATCCACCCCATTTTCCCCAATGATTATTTTCTACGGTATTTCGTCGTTAAACTTTGTGTCCAACTATTATCAGGATAATGGGCCACTGGAAATTAGGCAGTTTTCTAGTAATGCTTGTAGTTTGGAGGAGTGTAGAGAAACTAAAAGTGAAAAATCATGATATTAGCTTAATTTTAATATGTATCTACATTAGGTAGTTAATATATGATTTACAAAGTAACATCTTTAATTTATAGGGTTCTTTTTAAAATTTTGTGTGGGTATTCACACATGTATGTAAAAACATTTGTGTATCCTCGGTTGTTACGATTTCCAAACGTGGATATCCAAGAATAATGCAACCCCATTCTTGTACTATTAATCTTGCAACATTTGTCGTTAAACACTTATTTTGGAGCACTAGTGGTTTTTTTTTTTTTTTTTTTTTTTTTTTTTTTTTTTTTTTTTTTTTTTTAATAAACTGTAGATGCATTAAACCACTAGCAGGACACTAGTAAAAAAGAGCACAAACTTTACAAGTTACATGCATAAAATGAAGAGTTACACTAATCAAACCAACAAATAAAATTATAAGGGGATCTATTCTTGATCAGGTTAAAGGCAGTTAAAGTTAACTGAATCTCATCTGTAGCATTTAACGAAGAACACCTCTTTTTCTTAAACATGAATGCATTCTTCGCTTTCCAAATGCACCACACCATCGACAAAGTTAACATTGAATTGAAGAATTTTCCTCTTTCCATGTATGGACTCATTCAAAACATTTAGGGAGGAGAAATCATTCCCTCCCAACCCACTGAACCGACTATCATATCAATTTTTGTCTCTTATTTTTTCTTTATCTTTCCCAACCCACAACACACAGAAATCTTATCTTTCTCAACCCACTCAATTTAAAAAAATACAAAACAACTAAGGTACAAGTTTTAAAACACATGATACAAGAAAAAATGAGAGAGAGAAAGTAGAGAGAGAGTATGAAGTGGGTTAGTGAAACCAATTAAACAACCCGCTGAAGAGGGAGTGATACCGACGGTAACTCTATTGCTAATTAAGATTTTACCTTGGTTGTTGTGTATTTTTTTAATTGAATGGGTTGAAAAAGATAGGGTTTCTGTGTGTTGTGGGTTGAGAAAGATGAAGAAAAATGAAAGAGAAAAACTGATGTGACAGTGGGTTCATTGGGCTGGGAGGGAATGACTCCCTCCTCCCTTAGAAGCTCCCCTTTGTTGCTAGGTATAAAGGAAACAGACGTGCTCCAAGCCATGAACCAAAGGCAAATGCTAGACGAGAATTCACATTTGAAGAAAAGATGGTCAACAGATTCCTCATCTATACCACAAAGTGAACATGTTAAGTTATTTAAAACTATGCCCCTCAAAACAAGATTACTAGCTATCGGTACCTTGTTCAAAAGCATACGCCAAAGAAAGCAATTTGCTTTTATCGGTGCCCACCTGATCCACTTAAAACCGACATCTTCTAAGTTTTTTTTTGACAACATCAGCCTTAAAGATCTAATAGAAAACAATCCCGACGAATCAGCTTTCCACATCCAAATATCTGCCACCGTAGAGCTTTATGATAGACACAACCTTATTTTGGCAGCCCTCCCTTGTTTCCAAGCCTCTCCTTAAACTCCTCTTCCATCGCGCTTATAAAACAACTTCATAATCACCATTTAACCTTTCTGAAACATTGCAATTTTTGTCTACCTCAAGCACGTACAACTTCGAAAAAGTCTTTTAACGTAAGATCTCCACACCATTTGTCTTTCCAAAAGTGAGTATGTTTACCATACCCCAATTTGTCTTTCCAAAAGTGAGTATGTTTACCATACCCCAATTTTCTGAAAAGAAAATCTTCAAGAGACAAATCCCAATCTCCAAGCTCTTCATTTATTTGATATATGGAAAGCCAAGTACCCAAAATTCCAAACTTAGCAAAAGGTTTCCCATCAATACAACTTGTATTGTGCAAAGCCTTAATACAAGAGGACCAAATTAAGCGAATTCACCTCACTTTTTTAAGACTACCCGCTCTAAGACCTCATTTCTCCTTAGGCAATGTCGCCATGTCCCAATCCACCCAATGAATCTTTCTCTTGTTTTCAACGCCTTCCCAAATAAACTTTCTTCTAATACCCTCCAACGTCTCAATCTCCTTCTTGGGAGCTTTAAAGAGAGCAAAATAATAAAGAGGAAGACTCCCACTTAATGAGAGTAAGCCTCTCACCAAAGAAAGATTATTAGCTTTCCAAACAGACAACTTAGATTTGAAATTTTTTCAAAATCGGGTTCCAGTTTTTTGCAAACTTCATATTTGCACCAATAGGACGGCCAAGGTAAGTAAAAGTAAAAGAAGCGGGCTCGTAATGTAAGATGCTAGCAAGGCGAGGAACCTCAAGATCATCCACACCAATATCATATACCTTGCTTTTAAGAAGGTTCACTTGAGGCAAGATAAAAACATCTAATAATACTTGAGAAAACATATGCAAGTCTTGTGCAAGCCCTTTAAATACATTATATAAGATATAAGAGAACTACGATAAAATCATATACATAAAGTTATTTTGATTATTTCCATGAAGTCGTAGCATTTGCCAAGAAACAAAACATTGTGTTATTCATTAAGTATTTAGAAAAGGTGACGAATACTTGAGAAAACATTATCGTGACATTCTTAAAGGTTTAAGATCTTTCATATTATGCATGGTTCGCTGTTCATGATTATTTTCTGAAATCGAGTCCTCCATAACTAATTTGATCTAAAATTTCATTTAACAATACCACAAGCTTGCAATGGTGTTGTTTCTCTTAACCTTATTTTTGGAATTTCATAAAAACGACACCATTTTACATAATGTTGAATACAATATAAGGCTATTTGCAGCCAAAAAAATTACTTGTACAACTAAAATTAATATTTCATAATTTATTTGCTAACTAAAATCAAAATATGTATCATGTTTAAAGTAAGATATATTCATGTTAATTTGTAAATAATTTGGCATGGAATCATATGGAAAAAATTATCTTTTAAAATGAAACGTTGATTTACAAGCGTCAATATAAAAAAGAGACAGACGTTTCCCTTAGAAATGCGAACAATTTTCTCACAACCAACCAATGAACTATGACCAATCCATGAAATGCACATCGATACCATAAGATCATGATAGGCTAAACCTAAACTGAGATAAGTAAATATACAAGTTATCATTGCTATATAAATCTTGTTCAATTAAATATGTTCCTTTTTCGTTTATATCAATTGCTATAGTTACGATTTAAAAGGGCAAGTTTTTAACTTTTTGTAATCATAAAATCAAAATTTTGCAGGTTTTCAATCACCAATCTTACACACATAAAAGGATGATTGATATAAGCGACAGTTGTCCCCACCAAAGCAAATATGCTAGTGCAAACCAAACTGTTTAAACAATTAAGTTGCAAGCTGCAAATCCAACAATGGTGCAAAGATAAAATAAATAAATAAATAAACACTGCTAACATGTTTAATTATCAGTCATCTATGAGATTAACATTCATACATTCATGAGGGAAGTACCACATGTTTGCATCAAAGACCCTATATTTTTGACCCGTATAAGGGAAGAAAGAATATCTTTCGTATTGTGACCGACATGGTTCTAGCTTAATAGCAACAGAATCATTCAAGTTGCCAAGAAAGAATGCATATTCTTCTATTGTCTTTTCAGGCATCACCCATTTCATTTCACCAAAATCTAGTTCCTGAACCTTGTACAAATCTTCACAACTTTGATTCATCACATAAAGGTTTTCACCTGAACTTACAAACTCCAGAAATAAGAAATGTGGCTTCCAAAAATTCTTGATTTCAAGTAATGTCAATTTGTGCTTTGGCTTGAGTCTCATTTCATACACACGACAACCCATGTTTATGGTGTATATCTTCCCCTTAAAAGCATGTAAATCAAGGATGGGGAAAGTGGAGGAAACATGATTCCATGCTCCTTTACCCGCTATAGAAAACAATATATTATGGGTGAATTTATCTAACATAATTATTACCCACTTTGATATTGAAGGTGAAAAGACAAGGATAGCCTTAATTATTGGTGGATCGTGATCTACATAAAGGGGGCAATCAGGGAAGTGAAGTTCCTGCCTTGTGATGGGATTCACAAGCCAGAAGTCTTTGGTTTCCCTCCCGAACAAGACCAAGTAACCACAAGTTAATCCAACACACGTCCTTCCAACAGAATGGGGAAGGAGAGTTTTGTACTTTCTTCCTTCAAAGTCCTTTAGGTAGCAGTAGCACTCTTTATCATATGCACGATTAGAGATTTGCATCGACATGGGTGGTTTGGATGCCATAAATATCTTCCTGTTAGAGAGTGCACATGACCTCCATGACTTACAAACTCCACTACATGCAACAAAATCAACAACTCCCAGTTGCATTATAACTAAACAAAACACATCATAGTTAAGGTCTGACCACATTGTCACACCACTGTTGTCACAAGTCTTGAACCTCTTCTTGCTAGATGCGTCATCATCACGATTCTGGTTTCTAGTCATACTCCTTGTCTTAACCATTACTACATTCACAAAAAAAGATATCCACGATTTTGGTAAATGCAAATTCCACATAAGATACAAGAGTTGTAATCAAGGGAAAAGGATGCATGTATATACAAATGCTATATTTCTCAAATAAAATTGAAGTTTACAATATTTGCATGAAACAGGGATAACAAACACAAGATGCTCTTATAATATTTATGCTTTTGCCTATGGCCATGCTTCTTGTAATCACCAAAATACCAAATTGAAACAAACCCAAGCTAATCCAACAAACTAATTATAATCACTTTATGTACTACTATCATAACGACTATCAATTTCAAAAAAAAAAAAAAAAAATGAAGACAATCGCTTTATTTCAAAAGTTGTAAATGAAAAACAGAGTTGCTTTTGACTGAAGACATACATTCTTAATATAATTGGCTAAGGTAAATACTCAATTACAAAACCAAAAAAGCTATGAAGAATCGAATAAGCAGCAATTAACCTCCGAACCAGAAAAACTATACTAAATTCTTTAATCGGCAGCAACTCAAAAAAAAAAAAATAATAATAATAATTAAGAAAGAAGAACCCAAAAACCCCATGTCAAACGGATCAAAATATTCAAGAAATCTTAAACATTTAAGCTCTGGTTTACTCGATTACAGAAGCTATAAAATCATAAATTCAAAACCAGGAAACATAATACTAAGTGATATAAAGCATTAAGCCCTAGATATTTAAGTAATCAACCAAACTACATTGATATATTAAACGGAAAGTATAATTTTTTTTTTAAAAAATTTACCTTGCTTGACTGTGGTAGAGGAATAGTGTAGAAGAATACGCTTGAGTTTATAGGTTTTAAGAATTAAGCGGTAGAAGTAGAACTCAAACTCAAAGATAGCCGTTGCTTCCGTTATATATAGCAATGAAGCAATCCCTATAAGTAATTTTGGTAATCCAACGACGATTCATGACTCGTGCTACTTCGCTTCGCTGCCTGTTAATTCATATTCAATGGGCCCAATTTCTACTTCTAACATAAATTATTAGGGGCCCCATGCCACAGTCTTCAGGGCTTTGTGTAAAACTGAGGCTTATTAAAATTGTAAACCATGAAAATGATTGAAATTTATGGATTTTTAAAGTTGGAGCGAAAGATTCTATCTATGACTAGCCAGTTTCGTTTTGCACTTATGATAACAACCACCACATCTTATATCTTTATGTTTTATATATAGATTGTGCATGTGTTTAATTAATTTATTAAATAATTAGTTTTAGAAAGATAGAAAAATAAAGATCGAAGAAGATGAAAGATCTTCGTAATTTTTGACAAAAATCGTATAATTTAAAATTTATATTATTCATGGACTTCATTGGTAAGACATTGAAATGTAAGTGAGTGGTTAGTCGAGCTCGTTCAAACTCGAGTGGAGGTCGTGTTAAACAAGTCTAAGTTGAGTTTAAGTTTAATTTGAGCTCCTTTGTTAAACGAATCGAGCCCGAGCTTCCATCTACGTGAGCTCCTTTAGTTCGCGAGCCCCAAGCCTATATGTAATATGTTTATATAGAATTTTAATTTTTTACTTTAGACACATATTTCAGTGAAGATGATATAAAAATTGTTTTTAACTAAATAGATATAGATTCCCCTTTTTCTGTTTCGCAATGAATCCCATGCGCCCCTTTGCTTTTCAAAATCAACAAAAGACATCGAGCTTTCATAATTTAGTAAGACGGGCTTCGCTTCAGTTAGGCTCACGAGCCAAGCCCGAGGTTGTTAAATCTTTAACGAGACGAGTTTGAGCTTCACTATAAGGCTCAGATCGAGCTCAAGCTCGATCCCTATAAATTTAAATGAACCAAGCTCGAGCTATTTTAGATTAGGGAACGGACGACTCGTTTACACCCTGATAGGGAGATCAAGGTTTTGAATCTCTTTCCATGGCATTCCCTTCCATGTGTTGTCATGACATGCCATACAAGCTTCCACCTCATCAAATGAAATACAGGTTCATGAGAGTTTACTAAAAGATAGTCTGGAAAATGTTCCCTATTCTTAAGGGTTAGATTGAACAAAAAAATTATGTCTAAACCAAATAAGTGTCAAAATATTAGGTGTTTTTGTGAAAGTAACTCTTGATTATTTCAAAGACGGCATACATGTGCAAGAAACATAACATTGCGATAAGCATTTCAAATAAAGGAACCATATACTTAATTCAAGAAAACATAATCCTGATAGAGTAAATTTACACGAATGGTCTCTATGGTTTGGGATAATTTATGCGTTTGGTTCTTAACTCATTCTTTTAACTCGGACGGTCCCTAATTTCAATTTTTGTTGTTCGTTTGGTCCCTAAAATACTTAAAAAGACTATATTGCCCTTAATAATTTCTTTTTTTGATTTTATGTCATTTGTTTATGTTCTTTTTTATTTTTATTATATTATTAGAAAACATATTTAATAAATAACTATAGGTGGGTTTATGTTCTTTTTTATTTTTATTATATTATTAGAAAACATATTTAATAAATAACAATAGGTGGGTCCCACCCACCCTAAACCACCCTCCTAAATCTCCGGTTATTTCTCCCTTCCCCACCAAAAGTATGGCGAACCCTCCCCCACCAAATTTCGGCGAATCCATCCATACCGATTATCCCCACCAAGTCCCTACGACTTTCCTATGTTTTCCACGCTTCCCACGACCTTCTTGAGTTTGTGTTTCATATTTAAAAATGAAAATAGAAACCTTTCTGGATGTGTTTGTGATTTAAATGTGTTTTCTTTGTTCCAAATGAAATAAAGAAAATCGAACATCACCTGCCACCCCTCTTGACCGAAATTGAAACTGAGGTGTGAGAACCGATACAAACAACCCAAATATAACCGATTTCTAAAATCCAAAACAAGCCGGAACAAACCTGCAACGAATTTTGTCTTGAGACCTCTCAAAATCCAAATTTGGGAAAGAATCAGTTTGTCGACGAACCAATCAAATGAAAAAAATGAATCCATCAGATTTCTTGTTCCATCATCACCAAATCCAACATTGATTTCTTCTTTCAAAGAAAAGAATACATCAGATGAAAAAAAATTAATACATCAAATGCAACCCCCCTCCAATTATCGTTTGATTTCTTATTCCACCATCAGGAAATCCAACTTAACAGGGAGAGAAGGATGGATTTTTGTTCTTCAAGTGCAGGAGGGTTACTTGCGACAAAAGAGAGAGAGATGCGACGACACTGACAATGTTTTTCGAGAAGCATAGGCGTGAACAAATGCAACATTGACGGGAACTAAGGTTTCCATACCTTTGTTTTTTTTTCATTGGAAAAAACTTGGCATCAATGAAGATGGTTACCAGTGGAGGTGACCTACTGGTTACCGACAGCGGTGACATATCCAATAGGTTGTAGGCGATGGTTACCGATTGAGCTCAGGGCATCCACAATCCATTGAACTCTATAAAGTTCAATGGATTGTCACATCATCCATTAAACACCTATACAACAACACCCACAACCCATTAAACTCTTATGCAATCCTAATCATTATTTTATTCTTTCTGTTGAACCATTCAATGACAATTCAACTCCTTAATTCACCTTTACTTCATGTCATCACACACATTTCATTCAACTCTTATTCAATCCTAATCATCACCACATTCAACTCTTATACTACTTGCATTTTGGATGCTCTTAGAGAAAGAGAAGAATTGAGGAAATATAGGATTAGTAAAACGTGGGGTTTGGGATACCGGTGGGGTGGGTTTTGGGTTTTTTTTTCAAATACTAATAAATAATTAGTAATTAATAAAATGTTTTTTGAAAAATTGTAAGGGCAATATAGTCACTTCGGATGTAGCAGGACCAAAGATGCAACAAAATTAAATTTTATGGACCTTCCGAATTAAAAAAAAATTAGGGATAAGCGCGAGATTACCCAAAACCATTATGATCATTCGTGTAATTTACTCATCGTGATATTAATGAAGGTTTAAAGGTCTATAATAAATATTTCATAATTTATTTATATTAAAGCAATTTTGTCGTTGCTTTTATTTTCTATTAAAAAAAATAGCATTCTCGTCATTTCTATTTTCATCGTTAAATGTTAAAAGAGGTAAGGATCAAAAGTTTTCTTTTGTTTTTTGTGTGTGACTTCCGATGTATGTGTTATAAGACAAACAAGTGTAACTGCATATGAGTTTTGATCTCATAACATATATGATTTATTATACACATTGTAAACAAAATTGACATCTAATGGCATAGACAAAATACAACTGAAAACTAAAAAAATGGCACTATTGATCATCTTGGTAATAATCGGCATGAAACATCTATTATTTACGTATTCGATTAACCCTTGAGTTATGCTCTATTTGCAAAGTTTAGTCCCTGGTGGCAATTTCCTAATTTCGGAGTTGCTGGAGTACGCGGGATGTACACCCTCATACGCTGAGCGTACTCCGGATCACCTTAATATACAACGCATACGCTGGTACGCTGGACGTACGCAACGAGGGTGAAAACCCTAAATTTTATGTTTTAGACCCTATTTAAACACATTTATAACCTCATGCACCTTCTTATCTTCAACCTCCCTCCTCATTTCGAAACCCTAAAGAGTGTTTGTGCATTCTGAAGCTTGTTGAGCCATTTTTGGTGCCATTTGGAGCTTTTGGAGTAGAAGGAAGAGCATTGAGGTGGTGGTGTTTCACTCAAGAATTTAGATCCAACATCTAGTCCCCCTTGTGCACCTTGTGGAGGTAAAAAGTTTCAACCTTGATGTAGAAATCTTATGGATCAAGTTTTGTCTCAAAGTTGTTCCCTTTTTGGTCCTAAACTTGGTATTTGTGAGTAGAAGGTACTCCAAGGTATTTGAGTTGTCCTTTAAGAGGTTTTAAGGGGTGTTAAGTCATAAAGTTGGGTTTTTGGTCACTAGTTTCCCTCTATGCAAGTGCTAGATGGTCTTAATGGGTTAAGAGAC